TGGGGGGAGGCCCTGGGGGGGCGGGCAGGGACCAGCAGGGCTATCGGTGCCCTCAGGGCCTGGACACTTTCAAGTGATGTGCAGAATTCAAGGGCATGAACGTATGTTTCCCTGCTGTGTTGCCAGCCGTGCTCTCTGCTGCCAGCCTGCTGCTTGTCTTGGTCACTCCCAGTGAAATCTTGCCCACATAAATTCTGCTTGAGTCTTGTCTCAACACGCATTTGGATTTCACCCTTGATGCGTATTTGCAAAACGTGTGCCACTAAATCCAACTCCTACAAGTGATCTAAGCCTCGTATAGACCTATCCGTGACCATTTCAGCTGTGAGGATATTGTTTTAAACATCCCTAAAGGGAAATACGGGTTCCCTATTTAAATGAAAGTAAGTATCTTTGCTTCTCACAAGTAACAAAACCCTGTCCATGATGCGATACAGTGTGTCCAACTGACCCATGACAATAGTAAAGAAAAACCCTACCCCACAAGCGAAGCTGCCTGGAATAATGTAATTCCCTAAACCAGCCCATCACTGCAGTATCATTTGCAGCTGTTTAAGACGACTCTGCTATGAGTGGCGTAACACCCATGTAGACACATTGTACGGTAAACTCAAAATCTCAGCATGACTTCAATGCTATCTTCAGACAAAATAAACTCATCAAAAACATAAACAAAGACATTTATTGCAAATAAAAATTCACATTCACATCATTAAGTCTTATGAATTATAAGGAGATCATTTTGCAGTTTGTGAAGTATCTGTGTGCACAAGGGCTGCTGTTTTCATCAGAACAGCTGTCTGGGACATGCATGTATTTATCTGAAAATGCCAAGGCAAATATCCTTCTATCTATAAAGGTTTTGATTTGGCTGGTGACATTGTTCTGACACTTCCACAGTTTCATTTTCTCTGGATCTGGCAATACAGGCTCATAGAAAACCCCAAACCAAGAATCTGGAAAATAAAGTCATTTCTGGTATTACTTGGCAGTTCTGGAAATCTCAGGATACAACTGATACACAGTGGGAACATTTTGTTTGCAAATGTCTTGGATTTACATGCAGGCTAGCTCTGCTATGCAGAAGATCTTTTCCAATGTAATTCTTAAAGAACATGACTCTAGAATATTGCCATTTTAATGAAATCAGCATCTACCACAGGTAAGACTGCAGATAGAAAACTTTCATTTCTTTAAAAGATGGATTGCTCCTGTAGATGGGGAACCCTATAATTCTGGGTTTTTTTAAATGCAGTTATTAGCTGCAGTGAAGCAGCACATACATAGAAGTTCAAGCAACTTGGACAAAAATTCAATCTTTTATTTTCTAAGAAGTTGAAGGAACCTTCTGATTCCATTGCATATACTAAGATTTTTTTTGTCTTTGAATTCTTCTTTTCTGCTGTCACTCTCTCCTTTGTAAATATATGCATAAATGCATGCATGCATATACATACACAGGCAAACATCTATATATATGTACATACCCATCATTTTGAGTGGCAAATGATCATGCAACAATTTTTCATTTATCAGTAAGATAATTGGGATGGAAACACTAAATCCACAAAAAAAGCTGTTGGTTGAAATATAAGATTGAGTATGATCATCTCTGTAGTGAGAACTACTGGGTGAAATTCCATAGCCTGTGGCAGACAGCTGGTAAGATCAGAAGATCAGAAAGCTTCCTTCTGGATTTGAAACTAATCAGTCTGTGAAGGTGTTACACAAAAACTTGAAAGTAGCCAAATGACATTTATGAAGCTATGTGCACCAGGATGTTTCATTTATTCAAGTTAGAGACAGTGGAGAGCATACAGAACATATGGAATAGAAGGAAGACAAGGAGTCTCACAGCTGGAATAAGCCATCACAGCTTCCCTGATATATCATGCCTGTATTTTCACTTGTGCCTAAGTGAAACTGGGCCACCCTTCTCAATGTTATTTCCACTGATAAAGCGAGCTAAAATCATTAGCAGCCCACAAGGTGCAAAAAGCAGCAGGCAGAGGGGGAATGCTAGGGAATCCTTTTTCTTGTCTAGTTATTTTTATTTATTTGTTTGTTTGTTTATTTATTTATTTATTTATTTCCAGAGGAGAGATATGGTTAAGCATGTAGCCTTTGATCTGCAGTTACTTGAGATGTCATAATATGTTAATCTATCTTTGGAAGGGACAAATCTTTAGAGAGTGTAAATTGCCAGCTGACTATTTGTACCAGCTGAAGCTCTTCTCCTCATATTGTTTATTCATTTAGTTTTCTAATCCTTTTATGATTGGGACAGGCAGCCGCCACAGAATTTGCCAGCTGGACAACAGGGAAGAACGATGGCCAGTGAACTGAAGGATATAACTCATGTAACTGCAGTCACCAGAGTTAAAGCGACTTACAACTTACTTTCTGGATATATATGCAATTTTACACTTCTATTATATTTTTAAAGGCCATCTTTTAATATTGATATGTATTTTCCCCCATAAATCTACATATAGACAAGAGACCTAACCCCCCACGAATAGTGCCTTAAATAACATTAAGCTGAAGCCAAATAAGAAGTTAGTGGCATGTCATCTCACAGTACTGCAGCTGCATAACTTTCCTGCTTACTATCGTTTTCCTGGAAATGTATTTTTGAGTTGGAGCTCTTGCCCACTCTTAGACCACGAGGAACAATCCTCTGCCAATGATGTTAAGAAGTTTTCAGTCTGAATAACAGATTGAACTCTGCACAATGATCTTTGTCGTTCTGCTTTTACCTCAAACATCCACTTGTTAGGGAGGGGAGCAGAAACCACAAAGGAATAGTGAAAAGAATGAAAAATGACGGAAGAAAGTAACATGATGATATCTGTCATTTTTTCCTAATCAAAGCCTATCAATTATCAAGAAGCTGGTCGGATAATCTCACTGTTTTTCCTCCTGTCTTTGGGAAAATTTTGCATGTTTTTCTTCAGTATATGATGAAGCAATTAAAAGAAAGAGCTCACATACATACTCTGCTTTTTTTAAATACAGGAATATATGAAGCAGTACAGGTGTGCACTCAGGCACATTCACACACCGTCTTGATGGTTACATTAGGCCCTCAAAATAATAATTTCATATCATAATTTCTCCATGATACAAATATGCAGTTTAAGGACCACTAAGACATAACTGGCTTGAACTATTATAAATGCCTGGTATTTCCTAATGAAGAATTAGGTCAATTAGTCTTTAGCCTTATCTCTCTTGTCTTGAAGGGAAAGCTCCAAGGCCAGCTGGTGAGGACTGGCTAATATTCATGCTAGTTGAAGTACTGCAGCATACTACGTAGTTGGGTCGTGTCTCCTCTAAGCCCTATATGGCACATGTGTGGCCCCAAAACAAATTTTCTTCCTTTTTTTTTCTTTTCTTTTTAATGTAAATTCCTCAAAATAATGAAGGGGCTATACAACCACCTGATAGAGTGGTATTTTTATAGCACGAAGCGCACACGCCATAGGGCATGAAATGAGGTCTGTGAAAGAATTGTTCTAAACATGGGGACCCAAACTTAATGCATCCATGTCCATAAAGTCTATCCAGAGCAGACACGGGAGAAGTCACTTGTGTCAGCTGTGCTGAGGATTCCTCCTGGAAAATGGGTTAACTCACAAAAAAAGAGAAGAGAACTTACGCTGAGCTTTTGCACAGCATGGATAAAAAGAGGTTGAGAGAGTGAACTGAATTCTTATTAAAGGCACATCAGAGACATCAATCAGGATCTGAGGAAGCCATTAGGAGGGTTTTCTTTTGACTTTAATAAGCTTTGATTCAAGTCCAATCATGACCAAATTAAAAAAGAAGACAACAGACTTCAGGCTCCACCTAGCAACAATGAGTCAATATAGAAAGTTGCAAGAAGACAGATAGTCAGCTCAGATAAGGTGATTATCCAGAAGTTTGTATCCTCAGACAAGTATTTTGGTCATCAGAAAGTTGCATGGGAATCCCATAAGGGTAAGTTTTCTTATGAGTTGACAAATGAGGAAAGGAATGAGGAGGAAAAGATCAGCTATTCTGCCTCGTGTATTTCTGGGGCTAGAATCTACACACCGCTGCATCCTCAGGGCTCACTCATGTCACAGTTGGCTCTAGGGCTATCATCTTTGGAGGAAAAGTTCCTTGTGATATGCTTATACAGGCAACAGAGTGGTCTGATCCCATCTGAAGTTATCAATCAGCTTTGCAACCATATATGGTTTATATGAAATAACAGTAAGATTATGGCTGAAGTTAAAGGCTGTTTTCCCTTGTCTATTAATTGAGCAAGCCAGGTGTTTTAATCCCACTCCCAGTGCATTTTGAAGTAGAATATATTTTTTGTCAGCTACTAAATATTTTAGTGGTATATACTGGTACCTCAATAACTGCCAATCCAAATGCAATCCCCATAAGTATGACCATATGATCTTTAAGATATTTGATTATCAGCTCTCCACAAGGCTGAAAAAATAAGACAAAATGATTAATTATAGGCAAGCAGTATTATTATCCTAAGGTTATTAGAAATGTGTCCTCTAAATTCTACTTTCTCCCCATAAAAAAAAGGCTATTTGAATTTACTCTAGCTTGTTGCTAACGAACACAAAGAATACAGCTATACATACCTTGTGCTCTGAGACAGATGTCTAGTCTTTGCCTTCCCATATAGGAATGTGAATTTAGTAGCTGAACATAGAAATGTACAAATTCAAACTAAGACATATGGCTATAATGCCTAATGTTTGCACGATTTTCAGTTGACAGGGAAAGAAGCATTTATTCTTACTTTCACTTGGTAATCATTCACTGCTAGGAAATGGCCCATGCAGCAGAGATCAGATTTGAAAGAGAACTTCAATTTCCCGCTAAGCTGATCTTTGGATTTGAGACCTCCAATTAAGTCTATTATTAGGATCAGGCTCATATCAATATTTGCATATGAAACCAAGCTTAAATATTAATTTTGACAAATGTTTAGTGGTCATGGTCTGGAACTGGGAAGGAGCGAGTAATCAGATCTGAAGTTGTATGCGGAGCTACTCTCCTTTTTAATAAGTGCATACATCTGTTCCTGTAATGACTACATATTCTCCAGGCATTGACAATACTTCTTTTGCAAACTGT